AGAATATCACATTTAGTTCTCCTCTGAATGTGTAGTATTTTAGCAAAGTGGCTTAATTTTAGAAGATGCACAGAGCCAAATTTGTAACTTTTTGCAAGTTTTTATGATTTTGATTCCTGTAAACATCTTTTATCCAGACCTCTAACTAGGTAAGAGTCATAGAATTAAAATAGATGTAAAACAAGGCTCAGATCTGTCAAGACACCAACATGAAATAAAAGCACATTTTCTCAAATAACATCTGAATTTGTTCTTTACATTTTAACTGTAGGAGGTATCTGACAGTTATCATATTGTTTGGTAATGCTTCTAAGCAAAACATCTTTGTACACATCATTGAGGATGTTATACAGGCAAATAAAATATAGTGAAAATTACATAGATTTTCATCACCATAGGTTTTAAATTCTTTTGAGAAAATTAGTTTATAAGGCATTAATTATAATACAAACAATATATATATTTTCTAACCTGTGGAGGCCAGGATGCATTTTAAGTTTCAAATTATTTCTACTTCTCCTCATCATACATTTGCAGAAAATTCTGTGTGGCTGATTCTTTTGTTTCTATTTTTATTTTTTAAATTTTATAGCATTCAATCTAATGCACTTTTATAATTTGTGGTTCAAAGCAATGTTATATTTCCATGTGTATGGAGCCACTGTGAAAACTATCCAAGGACCACATGAGCTCTCATGTATCTAGTAATCCTTACAGTGGAAGAGGGAATGAAGTCAACAGACTGTTATGTTACCTGTTTATATTACTAAATCTCTCAGATTTTATTACTTTGTTTGAAGAAATTTTGATATTTCATTGTGGGAAGCCATGGCAAGGCCTTACTCTTGGCTAATACTCGCCCTTGGCTTTCCTACTTACTATTCTTCTTTCTGCTTACCTTCCATGATTCACTTGTCAGTTCTCAGAATTTGAAACAAGGCCTCATAGCAACCCACCTCAGTAACCCTTCCTCCTGACCTTTAGATTTAGCCAACATCCTGCTAGATAGATAGGGTTTTTAGAACCCCTGGTAATGGCAAGGCTTTGTGAGAACAACAGGTATAACCTAGTTAGACCCCACAGCTGCAGACAGCTTCCTCCACTTGCAAAGCCCCCTTTCCCTTCTTGCCTCTCCCCTTATCCTGTTTTCAGAGTTTATAACCTATGTGAACAATAAAATCTTTACCAGCTTGATCAGACTTCTTGACTTGCTATGCCTTTTTATTTTCTTGTGCATCTCAGTCCTCTCCACAGGGTCTAAGGGTCCCACTTGATTGTCCAGCTGGACTGGACATTTCATATTGAGCTCAATATGAAATACGATACTTCATATTGAAGAAATTCTATTACACATACTTCACACAGTTTTTTTTCTGGATCCAACATGTGAAAGCTGTACAGAAGGAAAGGGAGAGAGCCTGTCTGCTAACATTTCAGAACATGAAAGACACATAATTTCATAGAGTGCAAGACAACAAGGAGACAGAAAAGACTTTAATGATTATTGGTTTTAAATGAATCCCAGACAATGGAACTACAATGGAGTTTCCAAAAGCACAGCATCCATGCCTGATTTGCCCATGCACTTCTAGGAGAGTGCCCACCCTAACTCTAGTGGCTACAAAGTCACTGTACAAAGTTCTCTACTGTAAAATTCTCCCTAAAGTTCAACTAAAGTCTCTAGCATTCAATTTTCTACTCATTCACTAGTTTTCCAACTCTATCATTCAGTATGCTATCATTGATTACTTTCTTAAGTGTAAGACTTGCTGCAAGACTAAGACACTAGTTGAGGACACAGAACTGGGAATCTTAAAGAGATCACAAATATGTCAAGTATAGTTGGCTGTAGAGGACTAGTGGGGTTAAGACAGTCTTACCAGGAAATCCTCTCTTCACAAGGAAGGCCTCTGGCTGACCACTTGATGTTAGATAGACAGTTAGGGAGCTCATCCCTAGGAAACACTGATTCTCCCTCTCAGAAGTCACTGGTTGCCTGTAGTTCTAGGTCTAGGGTTGGCCACCAAGGAAATTTCCATTTCCACATTAGCATGTGTATTGACGTCATTATTCATTGTTCTTGTCTTATATAGGCATCCATGTGGTTGAGGTATAATGGGTACATTATGCCTGAAATCATCACACAAGCAAACACTAAAAGGACTCAGTAAATTACATATATATATATATATATATATATATATATATATGCATTTAAATATGTGCTACAATTATAATCAAATAAGAAGAGGTGAGGAGGCCATGGATTTGAGAGAGTGTTGAGAAATGGGTGTGGGAGAAGTTAAAGGAAAGAAAAGGGATCAGATAATGATATGATTATATTTCAATTAAAAGTAAAATTTAAAAATAGAAAAAAACAGATTTTGAATGATAGTAATGAATTAGTTTAGAAAAAAGACAGTTCATGAGGGTGTCAAAGAGAAAGGAGGTCATACTATAGCGCTTGTAGATAACTGGGGAGGCTGCTCATATAGCAGGTGTTTGCTACTGCATAAATGAAGAGTATGCAGAGGCATGAGTGTGCAAGAAGGCCAGGATGAGAGACACACGTCATATTGGAGAGTAGCATTTGGACAAACAGAGGAGTCCATAGAGATGATGTCATGGTCTTGATTCTACTAGACAGTTGTAGACTGTGTTTCAGTTTCCTTTTGTTGCTGTGATAAAATACTCTGACTAAAAGGAACTTAGGCAAAAAGGAACTTAAGTAGCATTCCCTTCTAGATCACTCTCAGTTATTGAGGAAAGTCAGGGAGAAACTCAAGGCAGGAATCTGGAGAAATTTCATGAAGGAATACCGCTTTCCATCTCATTCACTGGCTCCTCTGGCTTGCTCAGAGGCTCATGCTTCCTCAGCCAGCCTAGGACCTCCTCTATAAGGATGGTGCCACTCACAGTCTGCTGGACCCTCCTGAGTTAATTAATTAATACTCAAGACAATCTCCCATAGAAATGCTCATAGATTAATCTGATAAAGAATTATCCAGCTGATACTCTGGTGATCTAGGCTGTGTCTAGTTGGTGACACTAAATAGGACATAATAACCTCTAAAGATTCTTACATTCTGGTATATCCTGTGTGGGTTTCATGTGATTGGGCCCCTACATACAACAACAAATGACCCTATAAAAGAGAAGGAGAAGACTCTGAACGTAGTTCAAATACGAAACACTTGCTTAGAATGTGCAGAGCCCTGGTTCATTCACGAGCACCATAAAGAGGAAATGAAAAGGGGCGGGGAGAGAGGGAGATAAATAGAAAAAGATTTGACTACAGAAGGCAGGGTGTAATATGATGAACGTATATTTTGAATTTATATATTTTGAGGATGGAGAAATAGGTCCTAAACCAAGGGATATTTGAGGCCATTAAAAGCTGAAAACAAACAAACAAACAAGCAAACAAACAAACAAAAACAAGCAAATGTGTTTTCTCCTTAAATGTGACTCCTAAGATGAACCATCCCGCTGCTGACATTTTCATTGTAACCCCATTAGATGTCTGTCTTCCAGAACATTAAGAGAATGATCCATGTCATCATAGGTCCCTGTTTGTAGATTATTTTTTACCATAGCAATAGGAATCTACTAAGCATAAATAACTCTAATAATATAGATTTAATTTTTGTACTATGTCACAGTTGTAGGAATTTATCTAAGAATTATTTTTTCCTCAACGGTTGAGAAATACATAAAATACCAGTAATCAGAAAAATTATGATTTCTAAAAAAGACTATTTTGATTTCAATTATACCTTTATTTCAGTCAATTTCTGGTTCATACCATCTGCAACTTGCTAACTGTTGTGTTACCTGTTTATATTGCTAAATCTCTCAGATTTTATTACTTTATTTGAAGAAATGTTGATATTTCATTGTGGGAAGCCATGGCAAGGTCTTACTCTTGGCTAACACTCGCCCTTGGCTCTCCTACTTACTATTCTTTTTCTGCTTAACTTCCATGATTCCCTTGCTGTATTTTCAGTTCTCAGAATTTGAAACAAGGCCTCATAGCAACCCACCTCAGTAACCCTTCCTCCTGACCTTTAGATTTAGCCAACATCCTGCTAGATAGATGTTTTTAGAATCCCTGGTAATGGCAAGGCTTTGTGAGGACAACAGGTATAACCAAGTTAGACCCCCAGCTGCAGACAGCTTCCATCATCTGCAAAGCCCCCTATCCCTTCCTGCACATGAGGAAGGAAGAAGAGATAAGGGCGGGACACTATCTGACACATAGCTGGAGAGCCTGTCCTTCCCACTTGATCATATATCCGGTTTCTTGAAAAAGAAAAGGGCACTTCCTATTTGCACCTGTGTTGGAGATTCCTGCCCATTCTCCAGCTTTATATAGAGAGCGAGTGGCCATCCTTTACCTCAAGCCACCTTCTAACATCCAACATGAATCCAGTGACGAAAATCGGCATAGCGCTCATCTTGACTTTATCTTTTCTCTGCTTCGTGGAGGGTAAGTGTCTGCAAAGGGGAGTGAGGGGAGGTCTTAGGGACACTAGTCTCTAAACCACTGTCCTCCTGTCTCACTCGGGCATTGCAGCTCAAATCTGAAGACTGAGGTTCTGGGCACTAGAGAGATCACATGTGATATACTAATCAACCAGAAAACAGGAAATGCAGACAAATAAGACAGCAATTTTTAGACCTTCAGTTTTTTGAGTTTTTAGTTATCGGTTTCCATTTAATTTCCTTTTCTCTTGAAACGCTGTTATGCTGTACTCTACACAACACTCTCCTCCCCTTCTTTCCTCTGGTCCATTTTTCTCCATGGATCTTGCAGGGATCTTCATTTACCCGATGACACTTGGGCTCTTCATGGCTTAATACTACTCTCAGATCCCCTTCCATTTTCAAGGCTCCAATTATAATCTGAAGCTGAAAATACCCAGCCTCCCTCCCCAGGGAGATCACTCCTCCAAGCTTCTGTCTTATCTCACTGAATGCACACCTCCCGTGAAAGTCAGCCTTGACACATAACTCTCCCTCATATTAAATGAAAATTAATGGCTAATACCTAACCTTTATACTTATTAAATGTACTAGAAGTACAATGGCATTTCTACTTTGTCTTCTTTAAGATACTAAGAAATGTTAAAGCATAAAACATTATAGAAAATGTACGGTTATTTTTTTAAAACCTACTAGAGAAAGACATTTCTAACTATACCTCAAAAACCTAGAGTTCTTAAAAGAAAAGAGCACATCAATTTGAAAGAGGCCAAGGAGGCCATATACGAGCATTTGGAGGGAAGAAAGGGAAGACAGAATTGATGTAATTGTGTTATGGTCTCAAAAATTAAAAATATAAGAAAGCAAAAATTTTAAATACTTCATAGCACAAAGGTCAATTCATGTCATGAACAACTGGCTAATGTCCCTATTACATAATGGATTCAAATACAAAAATGTAAATACACTAATAATCTAACAGAAAAATAAGTTAAAGAAATCAAAAATCACCATAGAGTAAATACAAATAGGGATTAAATATACAAAAATGTGCTCAATGTCATTCCTTATATACCGAGAGAAATAAAAATTAAAAGAACTTACCAGATAGACAACATTCAGAAACTGAATAACATGATACAGTGGTCTGGATATAGAGAGATAAGAACTGTCTAAAACTGATAGAAAGACTATATATAGTTTCATTATCTTTGGAGTACGTCTTGCAAATCTGTCAAAATAATTATTTTTAACTGGAAAATCTGCTTATGTGAAATTATTTAAAACATACAATCACATGCAATTGAAACTATACCAGAACAGCCTTACTATATTGTAATGAATAGTATTCAGGATTACTTCTTGCGGCAAGTCATATCAAAAAATAGAAATGAGTGTACATAAGGAACTGGTTAACTAAAGCACGCTACAAAGCTACAGTGGAGTATTTTGTACATAGCAAACTGTTCAGAAGAACTCAAAGGGCAGCATGTGTACCGCGGACAGCCATACCACTTGACTGTAAATGGGAACTCACTTCAAGTCTGATTGATTGACACCAAAATTCATGAACGCTCAAGTCCCTGACATAAAACATTTGGACCATGTTTGCAACTAACCTGTGCACATCTACCTGTTTGCCTTAAATTGTCATTACTTAGAAGTGGATGGACTCTTGGATCATACAAAGACAATCGGATTTGTCATTTGGGATTGCTAGAAACATTTGTAAGGGTAGTTTCTGTGGCAAGGGGAGAATGGAATACAAACCCATGTCACAAAATTAGCATCCTCACAATCAGATGCGAGTCAAAGCCTCCTCAGCTCCATAAAGGTTCTCACTGAATAATTTTCAAATGTCTGAGATGAAAAGTTAAAATAACATACTCCATTTTTTTCCTCCATCGACACTGCTCTTAAGGCTTAAAGCTAAACTTGTCATAGCTTCTGATGTCACCTCAGTGCCCTGCCTCTCCTGCCCTGCCACTACCTGGCACAGAGATTCCTTGATCATTTCTCAGCTCGTAGTAACACTTGGTGATACTTATTCCTTGAAAAGAGAGAAAGTCAGGCTAAGCAGACAATGTGACCTGGGTGTGCTCTGAACATTCCATTGTTAGTCTGTCCTCTGTGCCCTCCAACACACAATGACCCAGATCTAACCTACATGTCCGTATCTCCAGTAGTCAACTCAAGTCCTGCCTTCTCTGCCCAATGAAATCTGTCTGTAATACTCAAACTACATTTGTATACACACACACATGCCACACAACACACACATGCACACATACATATCCTTTGATTCTCTGTTTTGATTTCATTTTCAAATATAAGTAGGCAGAAACTAGATAATATAAATAGTGTGGTTATTGTGTTAATCCATCCTCTACCTTAATTCACAGAGCTAGGCTGAATACCAGCTGAAGGAGTAAACAGACAGCACAGTCTATGTGTAACACTGAAGCCTCTCTTTGATCTTGTAATCAATCAACTGTTCCCATAGCCCCACAGTTCATCCTAAAATCCTACTCTCTCCTTGTCCAACAAATACAGGTCTGATCTGTCATGAGTGTAAAAAGTCAAAAGATTCAAGATGTATTGAGAAAGCAGGAAGATGCACGGTTCCAGATGATGGATCGTGTTTTACCTACTCACAATTTTATGGTAAGCGAGGGTCGATATAGACTCCAAAATTGCCTTCAAATGACTATTCCTCCTCCTAGTGCCTGGGGTAAAGAATGTAACAGTGTCTATCCCTGCTAAGTGGTAAGGCAGTGAATACATCTGAGAAGGGAGGAAAAGAAAACTTTCACATTGACCAGTGAGAGGCTTGGCATCCAGATCAACAGGGAGTGTGACCTCCCAGGGAGATGAGGAAGGGGATCTAGTGTGAAGGGGTTTTCCTCTTGGTGGTGACTTTTAGAAAGTTGTATTATAATGAATTCCTCCAGCATGTATAATGGGCTTCTCTATTTTTAGATTCAAACCATGAATTCTCTAGGCACGGGTGCGAGAGTGCATGCCAGGATGAACTACAAATTTCTGGAAAGACAGTGAGTTACAAAATGTGCTGTCAAAAAAACTTGTGCAATAGTTACTAGACAGAGAAGAATCTCTTGAAGAAGATCATCTTCTGTTCAAGATCCAAACTTACGAATGAAGCAAGATGAGGAACGTGCTTTCCTACTCTTTCCACACTCGCCTGAGATCCATGAGATAGCAACAGAAGCTATGTCCTCATTTCACTGAAAGACTTCTTGACCACACGATTAGAACACTGGGGGAGGGGGCAATCACAGGCTTTCCATGTTATTTTCATTTTTTCCAGTTTGTAGTATCTAAGCCTTGTTATAGTGTCCCAAGGAATTTTTATTTTAATCTCTAGAATCTATGAATGCTGAAGCTCTAAGTGGCAAAATACACACTGGAGATATAAATAAGGATCTCAAGATGGAAGGTGATTTTGGATTCTCAGGGTGGGTCCTAGTTGCAAATACAAATGTCCTTATGAAACGTGGGGGAGGGAGAAAGAGAGGGCGTGAACTGACTACAGAAGAGGAAATGACTGTGTACTGGTGACTCAGTGATTGGAGTGATGTCCCTTGAAGAGGGATCAAACGGTCATGAGCCAAGAGGTATAAAAGGCCACTAGAAGCTGAGAAGTGAAATGAAATTAATTTTTCTCAGTGCCTCCCGCCAGCTGCTACTTGATTTTATCCCTGTGAGATTTATTTCTGAATTCAGAATTCTACAAATTGAATAAATGTGTGTTGTTTCAAGCATTTAAGATTGTAGTCTTATATCAGTGATGGAAAACCCCAATGCTTGGGTAGGAATTAAATGTATTGGCAATCCTGACCCCTAACTGGGATGGGGTGGGCAAACTAGAATCCTTTGTTTCAGACTCAGGGTGTCCTTTGAAAGGAAAGGAATGTGCAGTAAGCGCTCTGAGTGAGTGAACTGTTAGTGAGTGAAAGCTCCACCTCACGTGCTGCAGGCAACCCTGCAGATGTGACTTGGAAGCTAGTGGTCCCTTCCAGTCTCACCTTTTATAAAACATAGCTTTTTTTATTTAAATTATATTATTTTCTTACATTCCAGTCTTCGACATCCCCTGTTCCCCTCCCACAGCTCTACATACCATTTCTCGTCCCTCTTGCCTCCATGAGGGTCCTCCCACACACACAACAGGTCTCCCCTTTCCCTGGGGCCTCAAGACTCTCTAGGATTCAGTACATCTTCTCCCACTGAGGCCAGACCAGGGCACCAAAGCCTTACCCTGCCACTTTCTAAAGCAATCAAATATGTGTTCTAACAGATGAATTTACAGTTTCTCACCAATTCATTGACTGACTGTACCTTTCTACCTATCCTGAGTGTTAGTTTCTGGGCATAGTTCTGCTTTGGTTTTGAAATGGTTGTGTCTGTATATTCAAGTCCCCAGTTTACTGTGGGAAGTCACTTACAATATGCTGTTGAGTAAAAATGTCCATTATTATTTTTCTCCATAGAGTAAACTTATCTGATATGTTTTGCTATAAAAGTTAAGATACTATCTTATAATATATTGAAAAAGAAAAGTTCACTGCTGTCTACTAATCTCTCTCACACAAAATTTCTGTACCCTCAATCATTGGGCTACCTACAGTAAGTAAGCTAGAAGGGCATGAGAGCAGCTGAGGTGAACCAGAAGGGAACAAAGCATAGCCACGTGGGATGGCCATGGAGATGTGCAGTGAAAAGTCAGGATGGAAACGAGGGGGATGGGTGATCAAGGCTCCAGCAACAGGCAAAGGGTCAAAAGCATCTGTGTTTGCAGGAGTCAGTGGCCTCAGACTTGGGACCCTAACAGCCATATCACGGTCACAGCATTACGGCTGCCACTATCCACCAACCACTTGAATGTGAGTCAATAGACATCAGAATGCCTCTCAATCAGGGAAAAGATCATGACCCCACCAGAAATCCCTCATAACCTCAGCATCAGTTCTATAACCATCATGGCAGGACAGTGGCAAAAGTCCCAGCACACCACTGACCTTACGATTTCACTGTAGAGGGAGATATTAGAAAAAGCAGCACGGCCCTACTAGCTCCTGGCCTCTGCCATGTTCACACTCTAAGTTCCCGCATTAAAGGTGGCAGAGGCCTGGGTGGTGGTCAATTAAAATTGTTAACCCAATTACCTAACCTTGATATTTATAGCTACCTTAGACTTCTAGAGACACTCGGACATCCAAGGACATCTTCTCTCCTCTCCTCCTTCACCTTCTTCCCCTTTTCTCCTCCTCCTCCCAACTCCTAGCTCCGCCTACCTCTTCTCTATCCAATGACAGAGTCTTGCCACACTTCCTGGAACAGAAGATCATGGAGAAGAGAGGAAGATGACACATGGACCAGCTCTGACACAACAGAGTCATTGACACCACTGCTGCTGCCATAGCCACCTAGAGCCAAACAGTGGACAGAGCTTAGTGACTCTTGCAGAAGAATAGGAGGAAGGATTGTGCGCCCGCAAGGAGATAGGAACTCCACACAAAGACCAACAGAGTCAACTAACTTGCACCCTTGGGGCTCTCAGAGTCTGAAGCACCAACCAAAGAATATACACAGGCTGGACCTAGGCCTTCTGCACGTATGTGGCAGATGTGCAGCTTGGTCTTCCTGTGGGTCCCAATCAACTGGAACCGTTGCTATCCCCAAAGCTGTTGCCTACATGTGGAATATGTTCTTCTAGCTGGAGTGTTTTGTCTGGCCTCAGTGCAAGAGGAAGTGTCTAGCTCTGCAGACTTGAAGTACAAGGGTAGAGCCGATACCCAGGGGGGCCCTACCCACTTAGAGGAAAAGGGGAAGGGAATGCAGGAAGGGTTGCAGCAGGGAGTGACTGGGAGCAGGCAGTAAGAAAGATGTAAAGTGAATAAGTAAAAAAATAAATTTAATTTAAAAATGAGAGGGACTAGGAATTTATGTATTACTTCCTGAGTGACTGGCTTGCCAACTGATACTGGTGTATGCTGGGGTTCAGCCCTCACCTGCTGAGAGTTCCAGTTCTTTGTGTCCCAGAATGAGGAACTAAGCAGAGATGTGGACAGTAGCAAGGACAGCAACACTTTATTAACAAAGTATCCAGTCTCTCAAGGGGACAAAGGAAACCAGAGCTGGGAGGAAGGATAGAAGCTCAAATGTCCCATGCCCAGATGTGTTAGGAGCTGCGTTCACCATTGCAACATGGCGCTGGTTTCCTGCTTCCTGGTTCTTCTTGAGAGCCCTGCTTGAATGTGTGCCTGCGCAAGGCTCGAAAACCAGTATGCTAAATTGGCAATATCATAAGAGCCAATGAGTGTGTGGCACGTCTCCTAGGGCTCTATATAAGCCACAGGTTTTTCGGGCTTGGCGTCCCTCGCTTCACTGCCATCTAAAGAGCTGTACAATAAATTGCTGTCAGAAGAATCCTGAGTGTGGCGTTCTCCTTATCGGCGAGGCTGAGCGCCGCAAACTGGTGCCGGAAAACCCGGGAATGAAGCCGAATGTCTCGGTGTTTTATCCAGTTTCGAGGGATCCTGTTGGCTCAACAGAGGGTTCAGAACTGACAGCGTGAGAAGTCTAGACGCTTTTTTGCAAGGTATGGTGGATCCTGTCTATTTTGCTATTGCTATCCTTGTTTGGGCTGTGGTAGTTCTTGTGCTCTGCTTCTGTTTTAACTATCATACACAAGGACTTGCCCTCCGGGTAAGAGAGGGACAAAGAGCTTTAGCAGAACACCAGGATAGCCTATCAGAAGCAGAAAAGGATAAGAGCGCTAAAAATAAAATAAAGAAAAAGGAAAAGAAAAAAGAGGAAATTAAGAAAGGAGTAGCTACAAAAAAGGAACATAAAAAACAGGAAGAGCCTAAGAGAAAACTATATCCTGTGTTAACTGAGTTTCAGAATTTAAGAATTAATGACTTTGCCTCTGAGGAGACGTCCTCAGGGGATGAAGAAGATACAGAGGATATCGACACCTCATCCTCTGATAGTGTGTTAGATCTTGAGGAACAGGCAGAGTTAGATAAAGAAGCAGCCCGTTATGAGTCTGAAAGATACGGGCTGGATTCGCCTTATGCACCGGGGTATGCCCCATCTGCCCCACCATTGGAGGAAGTAGTTAGAGTTAAAAAGAAAAAACCAAAAGAAAGACAGGAAAGACTGTAGTCCAATTCTCTTATTACAGCTAAGGAAAGAGAAAAGATAAGAGTACAACTAATTTTTGAACAATGTACTAGAGAATGCAGAAATGCTATTACACCTTGGAAAGGGAAAGGATTAAATGCATGGATGAAGGCTTGTAGAGAAATAAGAGGACCTCTGTCTAATGCCGGATTGGCAGCTGCTGTTTTAGCGGCTCAGAGGGCCTCTAATGTTAAATGTTTCAGGTGTGGAAAACTGGGACAATGTAGAGCACCTGGCACTACTAGTACATGTTATTACTCACTGCCTTGAAGCCTGGGCTGCTTGGGGCAAGCCCCTTCAGCTGATCTATCTCCTTAGCCCTATTTACCTTAAATTTTTTAAATCTGGATTCTGATGGGCAATCTGCTGCTGACAGACATGTGGCTCCAAGTCCTCAAAAAGAATATGTTAAATGGAAAGATGTCTTAACTAACCAATGGAAGGGCCCGGATCCAGTTTTGGTGAGATCCAGGGGAGCTGTTTGTGTTTTTCCACAGGATCAAGAAAATCCAATCTGGATACCAAGCAGACTGACCAGAACTGTGAAAGAGGACTCACCAACCCCTGAAGACAAATTTAGTGGGGGCTGCTACCAGTTTATCAGCCTTTGCAACTCTAGGAAATTGGTCACAACAGGCTGAGGAGCTACAAGAAGAACTCCTGCTCAAGTTTGCTGTTTTGAATGGGACCAGAATAAACCAGATTGATGTTAGAGACTTCACTTCCTGGCTCACGTCCACCTTCTCCTTTTTTAAGGAGTGGATGGGGGTGGGAATGTATGGCTGTATGATCTTTGGGGAAGTGCTGATCACACTCTGGTTGCTCTGCAAATTTAAAAAACAACATCATAGAGATAAAGTACTTATCACTCAAGCACTGCTTGCCTCAGAGCAGGGAACATCCCCTCAAGCTTGGTTAAATATGCTTAAACAATGAGACACTATCATTCAATGGGATACCCTGAGGGCTCGTGTTCCCATTGCACCAGGAATCCTGAGGGTAGTCCTCCACACTTCCCAGGGCTCGGGTTCCCATTGCACGGGACATAAGTGTGGAGGGTCTCAATACTGTTTAACTGCCTTGAACGCCTTACTGGTAGAACGGTGGGCTTGATCGGCGAAATAACAGTTGGAAAATTGTTGTAGCAATTTAATAAAGGGGGAGATGTTAGGAGCCGTGTTCGCCATTGCAACATGGCGCCGGTTTCCTGCTTCCTGGTTCTTCTTGAGAGCCTTGCTTGAATGTGCCCCTGCGCAAGGCGCGAAAACCAGTATGCTAATTTGGCAATATCATAAGAGCCAATGAGTGTGCGGTACGTCTCCTAGGGCTCTATATAAGCCACAGGTTTTTCGGGCTTGGCGTCCCTCGCTTCACTGCCATCTAAAGAGCTGTACAATAAATTGCTGTAAGAAGAATCCTGAGTGTGGCGTTCTCCTTATCGGCGAGGCTGCGCGCCGCACAGATGATTTGGACATTTAAAGGATACTTGCATAACCCAGGCTTTTTGCACATGCTCTGTTACATGTTAACTTTGGGAGGACATCATCTTCTCTGCCAACTGTTTTATTCCCTGTGTTAATTTGTAACCTTTGTGTAAAACAGTTTGAACCTCACCCCCTCACCCTACTCTCCTGCTTCTCAAGACTCTCAGGAAAATGCTTCTTCCCCTTATAGCCTTAACCTCCATTCGTAGGTTTTAGTGTCTGTTCTCTGCCACTTTGTAGTGACTTAAGAAACAAACTGTTTCTTCAGGAGGAAATTAGACAAAAAGGTCCTATGGGAGAATGAAGACCATGTTAAAGAGTTTCCCCATATTTGGGAGGAATCACAAACTTTCACTACCAATCTAGAAATGAGATAGTAGACTAGAGGTTTAATTTAAGCCTCAGTGGTCAATTCAGAAAATTGCCAGTCAAGGAGGCCCATGCAGGAAGAACAGACCCTATACAAACCCGTTCCAGTTATAATTAATATGATAAAGACTATATTGTAAAAAGTTAACAGTGTGGAAAATTAACAGTCATTCATTATCATTTTTGGCTTCCTGTGATATGGGAATACTAGGGTACCTTTGAGAGCAATGGAACCTTTCTTGAGTCTTGAGTTGGCTCAGCCCAGTGAGCTAGAGTCCTGAGACATCCGTGTTCTTCACTTACAAATTTGAAGAACGAAATCCTCACACCAGACAGAGTGAATTTTGCAAAGAGGTAGTTTATTACAGAAAGGAAAAAGGCAGACTTCCTGAACAGCAGGAGCAGTGCCCTGGAGGAGGAGACCATGAGCCTCACTGTCTTGGGATTAACAAGGTTTGCCAGAGGGAGGAATGGGGTGAGGGTGAGCCAGCCAGTCCAGTTTTATTCAGTTGCCCAGGCGCTTATGAGTTTCACTCATATAGTCAATACGGTTTCCAGGGAAGGAGTACTCCTTTACAGGGCAAGTGACAACTATGATCTAGGCACTCTCTGCTTTCTGCCACCCCTGGCTTCTGTCTTTGATAAAATCAGAGAGGTTTTGGCTTTAAAACTTTCCACACACTCCTGGACTCCAGCAAGTGTAAGGCTGCCCACAAGCTCAAAGACATGGCCAGTTTGGGCCAAAACATTCTCTGCATTTTAGGGTCCTTTTACCCTAAACCAGTCTGGTCAACTTCAGGCTCCAGATCTCAAGACTATGAAGACCACAGCCAATGAACTTGAGCTCTCAAACTAAGCCTTGTGGGACTGACTCCCCTTAGGCATGAATAATCACCAACTTTTGCTGGAGGAGAAAGCCTGTCCCTGCAGCCCAGCACACCTGGACTTTGCTAGCTTCCCTGTAGAAGGGCTAGCTGTCAGACCTGTGCTTGCAGCCCTTTCTAGCTTTGCTCCACACAAGGCATCTGGGTCCAAATGAACAGATACTTCTTGCTGCTCTTCTCTCTCTTCTGTCTCATAGTGGGTGAGTTCCAGAGGATCCTCCCTAAGGAGTGACCTTCAGTGGTGGGATCAAGGGAACTGGAGGGAATTTCCATGTGCAGAACCACGTCCATGTGGGCTGAGCTTTGATCACATTTTGGAGGGAAAGAAGGGAGATGGCCTTCAAAATGTTCTGCCTTCTGTTACATCTTCTTTGGCTTTTCTAGCATGCCACCACATCCATCTGGGAATATAGGCCTTTATTTTGTTACCCTTTCTGCCATGCCAAATCTCATAATCTACATGCATAGAAAATCTTCCCTTAAGATATCCATTCTCTTCACAAATCTGTGTTGCTGCAAAAGCTGGTCATTCGATAATTTTGAAATTGGTTTTAGTCCTAGACATTGAATTCTGCTACCCAATTCAAGGACGTTGTTACAAGCTGTTTAGAAGAAGAAATTCTATACTCCCTGAAGTCAGATTTTTCCAAACGACTCCAGTCACTTTCCTAAATACTCCAATTTGACAAGCTGAGACAAAAACTTCTTCAAGATTTCTATGATCAGGTTACACTGTATTAAGTCAAATACAATTCAAAACAACATAACCCCAATAAGATGGTCAATAAATGATACATTGTAATCTTAGCATCATAGAGAGATTTTTAACGTGTGTGTGTGTGTGTATGTGTGTGTGTTTGTGTGTGTGTGTGTGTGTGCATGCATGTGTATACATTGTACATGTAATACCACACATGAGACCAGAGAATAACTTTTAGAAATAATTTCTCTCCTTCCACTCTTAAGTTCAAACTCGGGTCAGTCCATCTTGAGAGTAAATTCAGCTGCTAAGTCAAGTGACCCATCTCTGGAAACAGGTTGTTTCGTTTTCTTTTGTTTTGAACCTATATTTCAATTATTCACTCTTCCAGAACCTCCTGAAGGTATTACTTACTCATTGATCATTTTTTTTAACTAGATGAATAAACTATATAGAGGTCAAATCTTTACACAAAGTAGGGGCTGGAGAGTTAGCTGCCCAAGAATGAGGACCTGATTTCGACCCCCAGAACTCATGTAAACAAACCTAGATGTTGTGATGCGTGCTTATAAATCTCAGTGCTAGGGAGCAGAGACAGGCAGATCTTTGGAGCTTACTGGGCAGACAACTCAGCAAAACAGGTGAGCACCAAACCAGTGACAGAAAGTTATCCAGAACATAAAGGCTAAGATTGAGCCCAGAATCCTTTGACTTGCTCAATGGCCTTTCATTTTCCATCACTAAAGGCAAAAGAGTTGATGAAAGGCTCAACTGTCACTTCCTAAACCCTCAACCATCAGCTAGCTCTTTGTCTGCCTACCCTCCCTTGGAAGGTCCCTTCACCCAGCTCTGCCATCTCTCTCCAAATTCCAAATCCATGTCCTCATGCCAAGCTGTGTGCTCTCTCCAGAAGCCGCATCACTGAAATGTGTAACATGCCACCTCCGCACACAGTCAGACCACTGCAGAAGAGGCTTTGGTGTTTGCCTTGCTCAGAAGCATGAAGTGTGCATGAGCTTAAGGATCTACTCAAGTAAGTTTCAGGGTTGGGTGCAGTCATGAGAAGCTTGGGCAGATTCTTGGAAAAGGGCAGCAGCAGAACTTCATCTCGGACCCAAGCCACAGTTCCCTCAGCATGGAGGGTACCATCTATGAGACAGGCAGAAGAAATGAGGCAGGATGAAAACAGCCAAATGGATTTTTGTTTTGAAGATACCAAAGCCCTGTTTCTCTCACTTTCTAGCAGGAGAAGGAATGAAGCAGATGTATAGATTCGAGTTGTCAGGGGTCACAGGCTAACAAGCCCACCCTATAGCTTTCCAGCAATTTCTGGATGGGTGGTCTTGGGAAGGAGAAGCTGGGAAGCCATCCATAAACCTGTCTGGTTAAGGCAGTGGGTGGTCTGCCTTGCAGACTGAGATCACAGCCTTATGTCTGGTTCTTTCTTTTTGTAGATGGCACTCTCCAGATATCATACATGGTGTGTCAGAGATTCTGCAAGAATTTGACATACAATCTCAACAATCGGACTTATGTTCATAAATGTTGCAACTATGACTTTTGTAACTTCAGACCCTAAGATACTCCCCCAACCTCATTCTAGAAGGTCCCAGATGTTTTTCTTCTTTCACACTCTGCTTAGCCTGCCTTTCCACTCCATATGCATCAAGGACGCCCCTGCTCCATCTCCATCATTCTTCCTGCTTCCTTCACCTTGGACCTTAAGCTGAGCAGGCGATGATGGTTTTAAACAATAGATTTCTCCTAGTACTACAATTGGCATCTTTATCCACTAAAGGACCTGTCTAAAGAGACTCTGAACAGTAAGTAAGATGTGAAAAGGAATGATCCTCACACTCTTCATTAACTTAGATAGTTGAGGTAGACCAGAAAGACTTCAGTGGAAAATTCACAAATATTTTTAACTGAACCATGAAGCACCACATGGATAAGCAAAAATAGGATAAAATGGAGGTAAACACTGAAGGTTTTGCTCTGTGAATGCAAAGTTGTTTCCTTTGCTTTCCATTTCAGACTCAGTCATTCTGATTTTCTTGGCAACTAAAGTACATGCTCACACTTGTTCACAGGGCATAGTAAACACAAGACTCCACACCTCTGTGGCAGTCCCGGATTAAATAAGGCCATGAATATTCTTCTACAGATATATGTCAATAGCATATTTTATCACACTTAGTCTCTTTCTTTTCCTAAGCTTTCTCCATCCCTTTCATCCTTTGCCAACCATCTCTTCACCTTCCATTGCTACATGCACTCTCCCATTAAATTTGGGCTGTCCTTCAAATCTTTTCCCAATATGTCCCATGGCCCATGAGCTGTATAACCCAGAGCAGACAGTCTTTAAGAGTTCCTCTTTTGTGGTATAAATCGGTCATACTCGGAGACAGCTTTTTCCTTCCCAGGGTATCTCCCATGAGCCTTAGGTCAACATGTAGAACACATAATTGACCTAGTACTGCTATTAATAAAAAAAAAAAAAAAAACCCTGTCCATTTAATGTGTGTACAAATGTGTCTTCTCTAAAGCCCTGAAAATAAAAAGTCACCGATTAGAGAGCCTGAAGATATACAGCCATACACTCTGGATGGGAACTGCCAACACAAAGTAGTCATGGAAACAGGGGAGCTGAATGCAGAGATGCAAAGAAACTCAGACATACAGAAGATCAGACAACGAAGAGCTCAATGGTGGCTTGCTGGTAACCCTACCCTTTTGGTAAGTAAGAGGGTAACATATATGGTGGCCCTGAGACAGAAGTCAAGCATCTTCTTGGCCATGCACTTTTCCCATGATAGAACTGAGGACACTAAGTCTCATATGAATGGATACTCCCCACAGGCTCCTCCTTTGCAAAATGTGTGTAGTGCTGGGCAGGATTAGAAAGCACTGAGATGAGTCCTTTGGTGACAGCTCTCAGTTCTCTGAATCCTCTACAATCAACACACTTGGGACATCCTTTACTTAGACATTAGTTATTCCAATATGTCCAATCTGGAGCAAGTGAGATCCATCCTGGCCCACATGCTGCAAAGCTAATGTTTGTCAGGAGCGGTTCCTGATCTGCAAAGAATGGTGGAACTTAATGTAATTGAAGCACTGTTGAACAGATGAGATTTGAGCACACAGTGGCCCTTTGAGCAGACTCTAATTTCAACTCATCATACCTACCACCTGCAAGGGTCCAATATTAGAAAACTCAGACAGAAAAGTTATTCATTTTTCAGTGAGATATCCAAAGGGTTCAACTGTTTTAAGTATGAAATATCCCTGTAAGTCAGTTAGGAAATAACTCTCAAACATATACACACATGGTAGAACATATATGCACATGGGAGGTCTTTGTACCCACAGATAAGCCCTAGAGAAACAGGAATGTTAAACATATAACATTGTGTAGGGAAAATTTTAGAAGCTGTGGTGGGTCCCACATTCAGGAGGAATCCTATGGTTCCAGCGGCCTGGAGGCCTTGGCGGCAGCAGGCCCCAATAACACGAGGAAGTCCTTGGTTCCAGAAAGGTTTATTGTCATGGCGGATGATAGATGGATCTAGGCGTACCCCCCAGAACTCAGGGCAAGTCCCGAGTTATAAAGGGAGGGCAAAGGGGGAGGTTTGGGGGAGGATCTGGGGGAGGCATGTTTAATTTGCTCTGCCCTCTGGCCTTCATTAGTATGTAAATCCCTAGGGCCTGTGGCCTATAGCCTGGCCTATGTAACTGAACAATGTAATTCTATGGAGACCGTGACTGCTTTTCAGGATCCTGGGTTCTGGGAGGTGCCAAACTCCTGCCGGTTCTCACGCAGAATCCCACCCAGAATCTACAGAGTCTTGGGGTTCTAGGCACCTGCTCCATCATGCCCCAGGATACCCTTATGCAGTCCCACATCTCCTCCCCTTTACTTTTTTAAAAAAGGGGGGTCACTGTGAAAATTTTGGATGAGGAAGCCGAAAGAAAGCACTATGTAGGCCAGAGGTATTAGCATAATCAGCTCACAGGGTAAGGGGAGTTGGGTGGGGGGGAGGGAAGGTAAGGGATAATTGAATCAATTAAATATATATGTATATATATATATATATATACAAATATATATATATAGTACAATTTGAGAGTAATGACATCTGATTAATCTAAATAGACATTATGATTTCTTTACTAACACGTCACTTTAACTTTAGCTATTTGACTTTGGCAAAAGAGTTCATTTGTAGCTGGAAGTTCTGAATCTGTCCATACGACTCAGTGAGCATCTCTGGATCTTGGCATGCGTCTCTGGATCTCAGTGTTTCTCTGGAATCTGCAGTCAGGTGGTGTGGCTGTAGGACGACAGCATGGCATCCTAGGGAGGTTCCAGGAGGCTCTACAAGTCTCTGCTGGACTTGTGGGAGCACCTGTAGAATAATCATAACAGGGAAGTGGCATCCCAGCAGGGGGATGTCTGTAAAGGGTGTGTAGCAAGCATTAGGCTACTTGGGATCAGGTACTTCATGGTGTGTCATTGAGATCCTAGAAAGCAAAGGTGTTTGAGGAAATTTCAGTCTTAGAAGTCACCTTTGAGTCTGTTTTAACTGGCTGAGCAAGAAAATCATATTAATTATGTAGGCAGCAACAGTTTGTCTGTAAAAGGAAACTAGTTGTTAATTAAGAGCTGGAAGGTGGTGATCAGCATGTTGATTTAACCTGTGGAAGTAGATTTAGATGACTTTCAAACCTTGAAGAAATTTTAAAAGTTGAAAAAAAATGTTGAGAATATATCATGAGTGAAAAGGAGACATTTAAACAAAAAGCAAAAACTTGGGGGTTGAAAAGCACAAACACTGTTGTTCCAGGCATTCCTGTTAGGGGAAAAGGCATTAATGGCGGATTTAGAAGTAGTGGAGGAAAGGCCTGTTCTGCCATGTGGTGGTTCGGCTACCACGTGGTGGCTGGGTGTTCTAGCAGAGAGGCCAAGGAATTCCCCCTGTTGTTTTTCTTAGAGAAAAGAAAGGCCAACCCTGAAGAAAAGTTCAAAGCGAAAAACATAGAAGTTTGATAACAGAGTCAGAAGGAGTGAAAGGCTGTGTGAGACCGAGCCATGGCGGGGAGACACCTAGAGGCTAGCACCTAGAGTCAGCAGCTCGCTGGGGGAGGACAGGCAGTGGCAGTTTCTCTAAGCTCAGCCTGGAGCTCTCAGTTGTGAGAAAGAAACTGTAAGGTAAACAGAGGTGAAAGGGTGCAGATTGAGTCTCTGCTATCAGGCAAGCCAGTTGGGCTATAGCAGGCCGCAAATGACTTAGAAGGTGAAGTGAGGGAGGGGGTAAACAGGGAGCCAGCCCTGTTGTTACAGACGATTCAGCTGGGCTGTAACTAGCCAGCGGCAAATGGCGGGGAGTGGGGAAATTTTAGCGCAAAAAGTTAACCCCTGGGGGAGGGGCAAACCTCTTGGCAGGCAGAGCGTGGGAGATTTTTTGGGGGGAGGGGTAAAGAATGGCGATTAAGGAGTCTCCGCCATTTTGTAGTGAACACATGGAGAAGAGGGAGAGAGAGATCTAGTCTTTTGAGCCAGGCAGGAGCTAGTGGTAGTTAAGATTCAGAGAGAAAACATTGGCCCGAAACGCATGGAGAGAGAAAGAGGGAGAAAGGATAGAGACCCGCCTAGTCTTAGGGACTAGGCTGGAGTTACTCACGGTTCCATGGAGAGGGTCTTGGTGGGCGCCAGTGGGGGGTACTCTTGGAGCTGGCTTTGTCTGAATCCTCTACCACCTGTAGGGAACGATGTAGGCCCATGCATGGGCAAGTGCAAGCGTGAAGCTCTGTTGCTTTGTGGGTCTGTGTGTCTGTCATGACGCAGTAGGTCAGCATGGCTGGAGCACACAGGATCTTGGCTGAGTTCATTCCCTGCAACACCAGGAGAGCACGGCGGGGCCCCGCCCAGCATGGGGAATTTTCACTCAGGTTCCATGGGGGTGTAGAGCTCTTGGACTGGGGAATCTCCAGGCCAGAAGTTGGCCGGAGACGGACTGGTCTCGAGTCCTTGGTTCTCAGGACCGAGACAGGGGCATGTGGGCTCACGTCGGACAACCCACTGCCAAGAAAAATGAAAGGGATTGGGGATCCCTGTGCTCTGAGGCAGTCAGGGACCAATTGGTCTCAAGCCCTTGGCTCTCAGGACTGAGACGGGGGCATGTGGGTTCACGTCGGATAACAGCCGAGAAAAGGAGAGGGATGGGGAAGAAGAAAGAAGCCCTAGCAGCACCTGTGGGAGAGACTGTACTTGCTTAGCAGACTCAGCAGCCTGGCCAGCTTGTTTGAAGATGTGGGTCCTCGTGGCTAGAACGCAGAGATCCTCCAAGTGAGAGATTAAGCAGCTGCAGCTTTAGTCAGCATGGGAGAAGCGCAGAATCTTCACTGAGTTGATTCCTCACAGCACCGGACAAGCAGGGCGGGAAGCTCGGCTGCGTTCTGTAGCAGACTGGGGTGGCCCGGTCCTTGAAGTCCATGGGTGTCTGTGCCCTACGTTGGGCGCCAAAATGTGGGGAAATTTTTAGAAGCCGCCACATTCGGGAGGAATCCTATGGTTCCAGCGGCCTGGAGGCCTTGGTGGCGGCAGGCCCCAATAACATGAGGAAGTCCTTGGTTCCAAAAAGCTTTATTGTCATGGCGGATGATAGATGGATCTAGGCGTACCCCCCAGAACTCAGGGCAAGTCCCGAGTTATAAAGGGAGGGCAAAGGGGGAGGATTGGGGGAGGATCTGGGGGAGGCATGTTTAATTTGCTCTGCCCTCTGGCCTTCATTAGTATGTAAATCCCTAGGGCCTGTGGCCTATAGCCTGGCCTATGTAACTGAACAATGTAATTCTATGGAGACCGTGACTGCTTTTCAGGATCCTGGGTTCTGGGAGGTGCCAAACTCCTGCCGGTTCTCATGCAGAATCCCGCCCAGAATCTGCAGAGTCTCAGGGTTCTAGGCACCTGCCCCACCATGACCCAGGATACCATTACGCAGTCCCACAACATTGTTCAGTCAGTAAAAGGGATGTATAACCTGTTACTCCTCTGTGCCTCCTGCCAGAAGGCTGGGAGCAGATGTGGTTAATAGTCTGGTAGCTTTAAGTTACGTGAATGGCCAAGACGACACCAGATCCTCCTCCAGACCCTTATCACAAGCTAATTTTCAATCAGTCAATTTATAAATGCTACATGAACTGTTCAAAAAGTTTCAGTGTAGTCACATTCTATCTTTATTAGCTTGTTTTGGGCTTTGTTGTACACAAAGAATTGTACTGCACACAGAATTACACTAATTATTACCTGAAAAGTTTTCACCAAATTGTGCTGTGCTTAAATATACTGAAAATAGATAAAATCTCTAGAGAAAAATAAAAATGGCAGTGCCCTATGTCTACTGCTGAGCTTCAGAGAGTCTGAGAGACCCATGGAGGCTCTGAAGGGCCACAGTGGTGGAAAAGGAGTCTAAGGAGCCCTCAGTAGTTTT